GGGGGGGGGGGGGGGCAATGGCAGTTGATTTATTGTTGAACATATTTTTGCTGGAGGGGGGAGTGAAGGCGGCAGTGCCCTCCCCCCCCCTCCGCGGGACTATAGCTGAAAGAAACCCTGGGTGTAGATTCTCTTCCGGCTCTGGTAGTGTTCGTTGCTACATCCATATACTGGCATCTGTGCGACGGTTGGGGGAATGGTGTTGCCAGTCTAACAGCTCCTAGCAGATGCCAGGGCAGCCTTGAAGTTTTCGACCGATGTCGAGTTCACAGCGGCATTGTCCAGGTGGTTACAAGCTATTATTGTGCGTGTGAAGAAAGATTACTTACTTGCACTGTATTGCACAGAGACGCGATGAAGCATTTGCTGTTGTTTCGGGTGTAATTGTTTATGGGGTTGTCAGTGGTGATGTCAGTGTTCAGTGAGCGTTTAGCTCTGATCAATCGACCAGGTTTCTGTGGAGTAAGGTACGTGCCTGCTGGGATGGCCGGCACCAGTCCCATGACCACTTTATGACTTTATGTAAGAATATCAGGCGGAGTCCCTCTCGTCTGTCTTTAAGGGAAGGGATGTCAAATATTTTATGCCAGATGAGTGTAGAATATGTCAGATTGTGTGTAGATGGTTTCAGCTGGAATTTAGATTAAATGTTCGTTGTAATTTAATTAAGATTATATGGGGAGATTATGATTGTCTTGGAGTGTGGTAGTTACAGTCAATATAGATCATGGCACTATAACTATAATCTATCTAATTAGTAGGAATGTCACCACGGGTTGCCTCACTGCTCCTACTGCATCGTCTTATCTTCATTGTTCGCGTAATATTACTACCAACCAATCAGCCCCAGATTTCCACACCCATCTAGGCTGAGCTTCTTTGAATCTATTTGGGAGGGGGGGGGGTTAGGGAGGGGGTGGTTGATAAATAGGGAGGGGTGGTTGGATGAGAATATAAATAAAATAAGAAACGCAGAGATTACATTCAGTATTCCGTAATGTTCTCATTGTTCGCGTAATATTACTACCAACCAATCAGCCCCAGATTTCCACACCCATCTAGGCTGAGCTTCTTTGAATCTATTTGGGAGGGGGGGGGGTTAGGGAGGGGGTGATTGATAAATAGGGAGGGGTGGTTGGATGAGAATATAAATAAAATAAGAAACGCAGAGATTACATTCAGTATTCCGTAATGTTCGTATCCCTTCCTTGATCTCCCCGGGGAGATGTCACCCCACTCTATTTGCCTTGAGATACTTAACATGTATTCGCAATCTTGGGGTTTAATCCTTGCCCTTGAGCAAACTTGGCAGTTTTAAAAATAAAATCTAAGCTGTTGACATAAGAAATGGAGAGAGAGAGAGGCGAGTCTGGAAGAACCAATGTGCATGGCTTTGGCGGCTCTCTTGAATAGACCGGGATTTGAAGAATCAATGCAGTAGGCGTTACACCGGATCCAAGCATCCAACAATTACCTAGTAATAACCACAAAAGGTTGTCAGTACATTAGGTACGGTACTTGGTATTAATATAAAGTATCCAACAGTTATATGGTCATATCCTGAAAAGGTCACAGGTACGGCACTTGTTTTTCCCTTATGTTGGTCATTAGTATAAGACTAAAAATAAACATCAATGGTGATTCGCATTTTCGTTTAATTGTAGAGGGTTTTTTTTTCCGTTTGAGACGGACGGGAAAATACTTGACTTGTCCCTGGCAGCACTAACCCTAACTCCGCCAATGTACGTGCATCAAATAAAGAATGGATTTGAGTCGATTCTGCTTTTCCTTGCAGTGCGCTTTATTTGGGCGTGAGAGTTGCGCTTGTTCTCTGAGGATTTTGTTTCAAAGAGAGTGCCTCGACAGCTTGAACTATCCATAGCAAGTGTCACCTATACGAGTCAATGTCGTCCATGGATTTGAATGAAGATTTTAGATAGTCCTTGAAGTCGATTTTTCTGCTCATCAGCTGAGCGTTTCCATCTGGAGAGGTCACTGAACATAAGTTGTTAGGGAAGTCTGCTGTCTGGCATTCTTGCAACATACCCTACCCATCTGGCTTGTCCTTTTTATAGGAACTAGTGTATGCTGATAAAGTCATATCAGTGTCAGGGACTTTGTCCTCCCACCTTATGCCAAGAAGTTTAGTCTATGTAGACAGTGTAGGTGGAGATGGTTTACCTGTCTTAGCATATCTGGCTGTACACTGTCCACGACTCGCTAGCTTATAGGAGAGATGTTAATACGGCTGCCTAATATAGGCCTACTTTCAGCATATTAAGACTGAGACCCCTTACGCCCCCAAACACTTGCGGAGCCTTCCAAATCCAACATTTACCTTTGGAAATTCGGTTATTGATCATTGATACACTATACACGCCAGGCACTGCTCACCGAAGCAAAAAGTATTGTCCGTTAGAAATCTTTTTTTTTTTTTAAAAAGATATTTAACGTAATTTTTTTTTTTTTTTTTTCCAGTTTACTTATTTTTAAAAAACTTTTGAGGCACGCTCGATTGCCTGGCTTTGGCAAAATCCCAAACAAAAAATTTTGTCCCTTAAAAATTTTTTTTTTTTTTTAAAAAGATATTTAACGTAATTTTTTTTTTTTTTTTTGCCAGTTAACTTATATTTAAAAAACTTCTGAGG